CGACCCCACAACCTCCCCCCCCGAAGTTGTTTGGTTAGGTAATTTTGGATGTAGAATCCCCCCATTTTCAATGTTGCCAAGGTTGAGAAACACTGCTCTACAGCTATTGCAAGGCAGCTGTTTTAAAAAAATCACTGCCAGGAAAGACTTTAATTGTGGAACTCAGTTTCAGCATTACATTTGTCTGCCACTTACCTTGCTCGCTCGCAGAAATGAGAACTTTGTCCATCCATCCTAGAGTAATGAGGACTTTGTCCATGAATGTAGGTAGAAAAAGTCATTTTGCACTACCTGCTGCCAGATGTTTCTCTAAACCCTGAAAATGCAAAGGATCCTGTTTGATTTGGAACCCCCTGCCTGGAGAGTCCACGAGGTGGGGCTGGTCTTTGAATAGGTCTGTGGCAAGCTGTGAAAATGAGCAAAAGGTTTGACAAGGGCCGGGTGATTTCTGCTGACCTTTGCAGTCCCACTTCACTTCGCAAATAATGTTTTTAGTATATGCCTATAATCGTGAAGGCTAGAAACGGAGTTCTAAATAAAAATGAAGAATCACTCAGGCTAGGCCAAAAAATTTGCAAAACATTTTTCTTCTTTTTGTCTCTATGTGCATAAATATTGTGAATCTTGATTTAAGGAACTGTATTTTGCAGAGTTTGGATGCAATGGGTCTCATTTCTCCCCAGACCGCCCCCCCAAAATTATGCACAAGCCCGCTGCATCTGAAGTCTTCCAGATAAAGAAGTTAAATTGATGTTAAATTTATATTAACATCATTCCCAGGCATTGACATCATTTGTGTAATGACATAAATCCTTGTAGATGATTAAATTTACAATTTAATGGGACCCCCCCCCCCATATATCTATGTGAGTATTTCGGTGTACAACTGTTCTTTCGTTGCTCTTTCTGTTTTCCATTTACAAAAATGCCTGATTTGGAACTATAAAACAAGTAACTCCGCTTAAGCTGAACCGACGACGTTTATTATTTATTTATTTTTTATTTAAAAAAAAATGAAGAGTAGGAAAAAAGTTGTTATACTTGATGACCTCCTCTGAAACTTAAGATACTAAGAAATGTTTTAAGTTTCAGAGGAGGTTATCGAGTATAATAACTTTTTTCCTTTTCTCTCTCTCTTTTTTTGCATTTCTTTCGCATCCTCCCAGTGAAGCCCCACCAGGGGGCAGCAGTTCCTACCAAATAGGGGTAACTAACAGGCCTAAATTTTCCTTAAAAATTCTGACATAGGCAATTGGCCAGAGAGGTGCCTCAGGATGAGCTGTGTCCATTCAGGAGATCTTCCTGGTTGCTCTTTGGTGTATGGAAGTTTGAGGGAAATTCTCCAGGTTTAGAAAATTATTCCTTTTGTGCTTTATTCTGGATTCAACACCCGTAGCTACTTAGGGCCGGAGGATTTTGGTTGCAAAAAGCAAGAGCTGGGCTATCAGGACTTGTCTTCAAAGCAAAAGTTGAAAATCAAGTTTCTAGTCCTTAAGACTGCAGGGAGGAGTGATCAAAAGTCTTTATACCGTTGTTTCTGTGACTGACGAAGAGAGAGATTTTGGAGTAATGGTAAACAGTTCAATGCAGGTGTTGATATAACATGCATCTGCTGTAAAAAAAAGGCCAACAGCATTTTAGGGACAATAAGAAATGGTATTGAAAATAGAGATGTCAGTATCGTCATGCCCATGTATAAATCAATGGGCCACCACATCTGGAATATCGTGTGCAGCTCTGGTCATCGTACTAAAAAAGGATGGAGTGGAGCTGGAGAAGGTTCAGAGGAGGACAGCTAAGATGGTCAAGGGGGTGGATCAGCTTCCCTGTGAGGAAAGATTGCAAAATTTGGGGCTTTTTCATCTAGAAAGGAGGTGAAGGAGAGGAGACATGATGGGGGTGTACCAAAGTATGCATTGTGTGGCTCAAGTGTAAAAGGAGAATCTCTCTTCCCCTTCCCCAAATACTAGTACCAGAGGTCATCCAATGAAATTGACTGTCCTGGAAGGATCAGGACGGGCAAAAGGATTTTTTTAAAAAAATGACCACAGTACGTAATGAAACGTTTATCCGATAGAAGAGAATCTCTGTAGCTCAGGGTTGAACTGTGGAGTCCTTGGTGCTCTCTGAGCTTGGATCAGGACGGGCAAAAGGATTTTTTTAAAAAAATGACCACAGTACGTAATGAAACGTTTATCCGATAGAAGAGAATCTCTGTAGCTCAGGGTTGAACTGTGGAGTCCTTGGTGCTCTCTGAGCTTGGATCAGGACGGGCAAAAGGATTTTTTTAAAAAAATGACCACAGTACGTAATGAAACGTTTATCCGATAGAAGAGAATCTCTGTAGCTCAGGGTTGAACTGTGGAGTCCTTGGTGCTCTCTGAGCTTGGTGGTTTGCTTGCAGACGTTTCATGACCCGACTAGGGAACATCATCAGTGCAAGGGAGGGTGGGGTTTGCTCCCTGATTATATACGGTAGCTTCCCCTGCCAGTGTTGGTGGGAATCTTGTTTTCTCCTTGATAGTTACACAAGAGGAGCTGTGTTACACCATAGGCCACACCATGGTTTCTTGGGGCATCACCCCTAGGACATCCCTCAAAAGCCAAGGAGGGTTATTAACCCCAAGGGAATTAAGCACCCCTGGCTTTCCGTGTTGTGTTGAAACCAGCCATTGGTGAGGTAGTCAGTAAACCAGTGCTTAATGCTGGACAGGGATCCAGAGAGTCCCTGTCCCGTGTGTCTTTCTGCAGTTGAGGGCATCAGAGAAACCAAAGGGCACTTCTAGGCAACCCCAAAACAGCTGAGTCTTCTCTAGCACGGATGATCCTTGGGCTGGGAAGCTTCTCCCATGGTGGACCTTGAACTCTGCAAGCCCTCAGACTTCCTGGGCTCTCCTGGCCTGTGGTAGGGCTGTGGTAATGCAGCGGTGGGAAGCATGTCTTTTTTTCCTCCATCTGCTGAGCTCTGAGCCAGGGGCCGGGCACGCGTTGGTGCAGCCTGGTTGTCATGGTGGTGTTAAAACATTTCCATCACAACTGTACTGTTTTGCAGAGCTGGAGGCCAGATGAGCTCCTGGGTTTGTTTTGAGTGAAGATGAATAATTAGACTTCCCGCCTCCACTGCCAAAGCGCTCAGTTGAGCTTTGGGGAGCGTGAATGCTTTTGAGAAGGAAACACCTGCCTCTGTTAAAACACACGTGACCCCCCACCCTCAACCGAGGGTGTGTTCAAACAACGCACGTCACCAATTCAGTGAAAGACCTCGTGGTTCCCTTTGCACGATGCTTTAAGATGGTTTAGCGTTAACTCAGGTGGGCTTTGCAGAGGCACGCGAGACAAATCCACCCGTTCGTCTCGCTTCTGGCCGAATGGATTGCGCGCAGCCAGGAAGTGGGTGACGTTAATTCAGTCCTTCAATTAAAAATTAAGCGTGTCATTCCAAAAAAGAGGCACGGGAGTGGGGTGCGGAGTGAGTGTAAGTGTTGAGCAGGTGACCCTCACCTGTGCAAAGATAGTTCTGGCCTTTTCGATGGGCAGTGAGATTGTGGACTGGATTTTCCCCTTGTTCAGGGACAAGAGAAGACCCCTAAGGTCAGGCTCCTGGAAGGTGGATGTGACACCCATTGGCAGGCCCTTGCAAGGGAAAAGGAGCTTCTGATGTGAGCTAAAGAATCAAGCTGCGGTGTTAACCCACCCCCTCACCCGTTGGAGAAAGGTTTGTGAACGCAGAAGTTGGCAGCGTGGCACAGGGCGTGCTGTGGTACCTGGGATTCCCCTAATGGGTGCTCACAAAAATCCACCTTTAATAAAAATAGACAACCTTTCATGAGGGTTCAGTATTCTTGCATCAAGTCTCACGAGATCTTGAGTCAAAATTGCTCCAGTGTTTTTCAAACTTGGCAACTTGAAAAGGTGTGGACTTCAACTCCCAGAATTCCCCAGCCAGCCATGCTG